CCCCAAAACCCCAAAACCCCAAAACCCCAAAACCCCAAAACCCCAGACTGTGGGTTACAGTTGAAGATTTTTGACTGTTAGAATTTTGAGGGTTATTGGTGGGTTAAGATTCAGAGCTTAGGTGGGAAGATGGGGAATTTTGGTGGACGAGGGCTAAGAATTCGTCTGTGAAGTTGAGGTTGGGGTTGAAGGGTTGATGGGGTTTGTTGATGAAAGATTGATGGGTGAGAGATGGTTTGGTGAGAGTTTTGTATATGCTCCATTCTTGTTTTACAATTTGAAATGATTTTCTAATCAACAATATCAAAGCAATTAATGTAAGCAACTTGAAAATCAAGGGTCCAAAGTCTCTCCAAAAATCTTCTGATTGTTCAGAGAAACTGTGGATGATCGCATCAAATTCTGAACAATTAGAAGTATCATTTCCTTTGAATGTGGGCATGAAGAATTGCCCAATCCTCATACGAATGCACTGAGATTTATCATCGAAAGAACCCTTGCCTTTGTCATTGATAATCTTTATAATTACTCCAAATTGTTTCTTTGCAAATAAAATTTTTAGCGTCTCAAAGCCATATTCCATTTCAGTCACCATACCCCTCGCAAACCATCTAAACTCTCTCATGATTCTGAACAATACGATATCAGGGGTTACTCAGGCCAGACTTGTACAGTTAAAAGTCCTTTTTAAAAATCCTTTCAATAATTCTGTCGCTTTTGAACCAATTTCAATGAAGTCAAAAGGGATGAACTCAATAGTCCTCATTAAACTAACGAACAATAGTGAAATTTTTATATTAGCATCAAGGTTATCGACTCGATGAGTCAGATTTTTTTCTGGATTTTCTCTGAACCCGCTTAGGAGGCCTTCCTTTCACGCTACTATTGACACCACCAAGGCTAGTACAATTAGTTTCTGTAAGAAGGATCCCATATTTAGAATAATTATTATAATATAGGTTTTCGATCCGTTAAGCAGCCGGCGGGGTTTTGGGGTTTTGGGGTTTTGGGGTTTTGGGG